CAAAGTCAAAGTGATATTTATTGTCATCTCTGCTATATACGGTACAGTATATAAAGAGACAAGACGATGAGGCTCCAGTTACATCAGTGCAAAAAAAAAAAATAAACAAACAATAAATATAAGAAGAGTAGGAAAATAAATATACACTTTAGGAGTAGGGGTAAAGGGGTCAGTAACAAATTAAAATGTACAATTTTCAGTATGATGCTTTTGTTATTGCTATTGTTAAGTGTCCTTGGGTGTCTTGAAAGGCACTTTTAAATAAAATGTATTATGATTATTATTATGAGAATTATTATTATTATTAATAATAATAATATCACTATAATAATAATAGTTGTTTTGTTGTTGTTGTTGTTGTTGTGGCAAATTTGCAGTACAATAGACAGTTTGATGAAAAACAGCTGGACTGATACTGTTAGCCCTTTGCTGTCACTTTTCTTTGGTGGGCAGGGTTTGTGCGTTGAGGACCTTGACAACTCTGAGAGTGGTGCCCAATAACTGACACATCTATCTGTCCTGGACAGGTCAAAGGTGAGAAGCCAGGCAAAGGCAGACCCTGGCAGTTGTGCTATGGCCTAATAAAACCTAATGGATGGAAATATTTCTTTTAGTACTGAATGTTAATTATACTAATAAATGTAATCAGAGCTTTTTATACTTCAGCATAACAACACATATAATATATATAAAATAATGAAGACAACAGATGACGTATTTCATTTACATCACATGAATACTGTCACGGCTAGCGGGTCGGATTCAATTGGAGGCTACGGATCATGTTCACAGATATTAACTTTTAAACACCAGGTGCAAGAAGTACAAAATGAAGGAATCAGGGAAGGACACGAGGGGTCGGCTGACAGGGGGGGAAAGAGGTACTGTGCTTCACACACTGCTCTCGCTTCACTCTCGTTCTCACATTCAGCTCCAGTCCTGTCAGGCAGTCATGCTCATTCTTCCACAAGAAAGCAGGGTTACTGGATGGTTCTGGGAATCTACAGATAATAAAGGGTAATCACCACTAGGATACTGATGAATCACACAAGTCTATAAAGCTGGGATTTACACTAACATGTTAACTCAATGAAGTGAGCTCCGCCCCGGCCGAGTGATGCAGGAGAAGGAGAGAGGAAGAGGGAGAGTGAAGGAGGGAGAAGAGAGAGCAAAACACAAACAAAAACACATGTAGCCTCGCGGGGCCCCCCGGGCAGACATGGGGACCATAACAAATACTCTGAGGCAATGACACAGAAATCAACTCAAACACCTCAAATGTAGAACAAACAAGAATCAGCTGGTTTTGGAATCTCAGTTATGTACGTGTGATTGGTCCTGGAATGCTTCCTGCAAAGACTGTATTATAAGATCAACACCTAGCATGTCCAGAGAAATGTCTTTCTACAGGCCTTTTTTCTCTTTCCATCAGTATCCATCTTGCATGTTCCCTTTTGTTTTCAGGTTGCCATCAAAAGTTTTGCTAAATTTAGATCCTTACTTACGTTGCCTTTGACTGCAGCAATTTTCATGGATTGCTCAACTTCATGCACTTCTTTACAAAACATTACTGGCCTGCCACTCTGTGTACAGCTATGAAGTATTTGGAAAACAACAAAGATGAAAGAAACTGCTTCATCCTCAAGACTCTTAGCTAAATAGCTTATTTACTCAAGAATAAAATGTTCTTTAACCATCTCTGTCACCATTTTCCTCTCTTCACAACTTGTTTGGCACTTAGAAAATGACACCCCTGCTTACTGGCTTATGTGCTCATCAAACATGCTAAATGTACAGTTGCTGTATTTCCAAGACATTAGCGTGCAACACTCAAAGATTTTTTTAAAATAATGACAAGAGATTATTTTCAAATAAAATAACTTTTCAGTAAGTTACATTTGATTAACTATAAATTAACATTATCTGTTCCTAAAGTTATGCTTCTGTTTCATGTTGTTACACATTTTGCAGAACAAATAAATACAGTAATACTTTTGAGTTTCATGTATCTACAGTTTCTCCATGCTTGGATGAGTGCAGCTGGGCAGTAGTTACTGATTGTGGCTTACTCTGATGAACAAGGTGACCCAACATGTCCCAGGCAGATGTGATAGGAGATATACAGTTAGATCCATATATATTTGGACACTAACACAAGTTTTGGTTTTTAACTGTTTACTGAAACATATTCCAATTATAGTTATATGGACATGGATATAATGTGGAGACTCTCTGCTTTAATTTGTCGGTATCCACATTGAAGTTGCATGAAGGGTTTAGGAGTTTCAGCTCCTTAACATTTAACATTAGGCACAGTCTTTTTAAAAGGACCAAAACAATTGACTCCAGGGCTATTTCATGGCCCGGTGGGGAATTCCTTTGTTATAGCATTATCAGTTAAGCAAATAAAAGGCCTGAAGTTGATTTGACGCGTGGCGCATTTGGAAGATTTTGCTGTGATCAGACAACATGTGGTCAAAGGAGCTCTCCATGCAGGTGAAACAAGCCATCGTTAGGTTGCCAAAACAGAAGAAAAAAAAAAACAGAAATTAATACAATATTAGGAGTGGCAAATTCTACAGTTTGGTACTATGCAAAAAGACATGGACGTCCACGGAAGGCGACATAGGTGGAAGATCTCAGAATCATTCAATGGTAGGAGTATCAATATCCAAGTCTACCATAAAGAGAAGACTGGATGAAAGTAAATACAGAGGGTTTCACTGCAAGGAGCAAGTCACTCATAAGCCTCAAGAACAGAAAGGCTAGATTTGGGCATTATACAGATGGACAATGACCCCCCAAAAAACATGAGTTTATTAAAGCAAAAAAGTGGAATATTCTTGAATGACCAAGTCAGTTAACCCAACTGAGCATATCACTTGTTGAAGGCCCACAAACACACAGGAGCTGAAAGCCGCTGCAGTAAAGGCCTGGCAGAGCATTAAAAGGAGGAAACCCGGCGTCTGGTGATGTCCATGAGTTCAAGACTTCAGGCTGTCAACAAACCCAGCAAAGGGTTTTCAACCAACATTAGAAATAAACATTTTATTTTTCAGTTATTTAATTTGTCCGATTACTTTTGAGCCCTTGAAATGAAGGGATTGTGTTAAAAATTTGTGTTAAAAAACTTAAGTTCCTCATATTATTATGCAATCTTTTTCTAAAGCTGAAAGTCTGCACTTCATCTGCATCTGAGTTGTTTCATCATTTCATATCAGATTTTGTGGTTGATTTGAGTAGGGAGCACATCTAGTCTTATAAGTGCAACTAACTTGAAGATAAGTTTTAGGACTTTAAAATGTGTTGAGCCAATTTAAACATGTCTCTTCTTCCAGTGTCTAAGTGTGTCTGTATCACAGTGCAAAGTTGCAGCTAATATTTTTCAGTGCAATGTAGTTTTAGTCATACAGTGTATCTGGCAGTTCTTCTAGGCTTTTAATAGAGGGGCACTGTTTGTACAAGTCAGCCTTTTTATCTAGTTTCATTTCTGGTCTGAAAATATCACCCATTAGCACTTTTTCTCTTCCTCTTCTCAAACGCTTTTATAGCTGTATCATATATAAAAGTGAACTGTGGGCTGTAACAACAGGAGCTATCATTACTAGTCCTGTACTGGGCCTATAGAAGTCT